GTGCGCGCGCGCGCGATTCTTGTAATTCTTGTCTTCCTCGGTACGGAGTCGACCGGCTCTTCTCTCTCTCTCTCTCTCTCTCTCTCTCTTTCTCCCTTTGCAGGTCGACTTTGCGACAGTGGCAACTTGTCTCCTCGCGTATGCGTTTATCGAGTTTACGATGGCACGTCGTTGATCGCGCGTTCGATCAGCAGACGTTCTCCCTTCGTTCCCGACGTGTTTACGAACTTGACTTGGCACTCTAAGTCCGTCGACTCGCTCGTGTGTAGTGTGTGTACCCGTCTTCTAAGAAAGAGGGGAAAAAAATCTCTTGCCGGGTTTTGCGTGTGCGTCCGGTAATACTACCGTACTTAATGTTTAAAGCAGAGCCTCCCAAAGCTAACTGAGAGCGCCGCCGACTGAGAGTAGAAGCCTGTTCTTTTCACGGGAGGACATGCAGGCCGGATTACCCTGCGGTATCGACGCGTCGACCAATCGCGCGCCGTCTCGCGTCACGTGGGAGGGGGGAGTCGCTCCGACGACGTGGCAATCGCGCGCGCAGTTCGGACTCACGTGAAGTGAGCTCTCTGTCGGCATGTCGGCTCTCGATTGTCCCGCACAGCCATCGTCCCACCCCGCGTCTCGACGATCGACGGAAGCCCGAGAGTTTCTTATTGGATGAGATGAAGGGTCGCATCCCTCCAGTTTAAGGGGGCTCGTTTTGATCCGGCGAAATCGTGAGCTGCGTATAATGTGGCCCGAAAATGGACGACGCCGAATGCGAATGGAGCACACAAAGCGAAATTTTTCTCCCGTGAGTTAGTGCTTCGAATCAATTGAATATTGCTGATTGTTTTACATGTCGATTATTTGGTAAAGTAAATGAGAGCAAAATATGTCTTTATATGTTTTTACATTTCTTTTTGTAACGATAGGATTGTAATTGCATAATAAAAGTATTACAAAAAAGCTAACAAAAAGACAAAAAGGCAATGAAGGCTTTTTACATTGAAATTAATCCCCGCGGTAAAAACGCTTGACAGAAAAAAATAGATCCTTCATAGAAAGGCTGCATTTGCAAAAATTTTGCAACGCATTTATATGCTTGCGAATGTAACTATTTGCATTTTACACTATTAGAAGGCAAATAACAAAAATAATAATATGAAACAAGAAACTGTTTCACTTTTGTTTATTAAAATTTGCACGCGAATCGAGATATTGATATTACTATGGGCATATCCAATATCTTTTCGAAGGAGAGGAATTTATCAATCCTATTATCACATAAACATTTTTTGCAAATAAATAAATAAATTACTTTTTGGATATTTTAGAGCTTAGAATGTTTTCTCGTTATTAGTTTTGAGTAGGAAAAATATTGAGTTTTGTAAATCATAACTTTTATTTTTTTACCTAAAGAAAGTATAAATAAAATATAATAAGCACTTTTGAAGATTTAAACCTCCCCAAACTCTTAGATACATCCATAGATATTACTTTGAATTATTATTTTAATAACAAAACAAAGGAAAAGTAAGTTGACATTGAACATAGAGCTACAGAATTACTTCTTCTTTCTCTATTATTGAATGTAAAGCTATAGATACAGTTCTTTCGATCGCTCGACAACTCGAGCACATTCCAGCGGTCAAACGGCAGTATGAATGAAATTCAGCTTTTATTCACCTGTACGGTATAGACCACAGATTCTAAGCAATAACTGTCTATGTTCGTTATGATTTTTTGTCGCCAATCACTGTTACGACTTTACGACCACAAACGTAAATTACGCCGCTAATAGTCATTTTATAACAGCTAATTCATTATCACACGTACAGTCATTATATATAAATTAGCCTAAGAATTGTGATATATAAATTTGAAAATATATAAAAATATATGAAAATATATTAATATTAATATTGAAAATATATTAATATTATCTGTATACATTTATTTAAATTTTTTTCGGCCTAAAATTATAAGATTATAAACTTAATCAAACGTAATTATATTTTAAAA